AGTCGAACCGAACGGTTCGGACGGTTTTCATAAACCGTTCCATCCCTAATATTTACCTGATAACACATAGAATTTTAAATAAACCTAATTTAATAGAAATTTTCCTCCATGCAGCTTATTATTAATCTATTTGAATCCCATGGCCTGTTTTTTATTTCTTTCGTTTCTGTGCCCCCATTAAAACATGCTGGCCCCCGCCTGGCCCCCTGGCACATTTGGTCTAGATCCACCCCTGAAAACATCACAAGGTGCGTCAGCGCTGCACAAAAAAACACTCATATGATGTTTGTCATAAATGTGAAAAGGTGGTGTTTTCGGGGATAATTAATCAATTTCTGTAAATAAAATTGTAATAAACTTTAAACCTGTGTAGTAAAACAGTCCGATTTATTTTACAGATTTTTTTAATACAAATTTAGGCCACAAATATTTTATTTTGTCGTTTAATTCGATTAATAATTGGACAGAAAAAGATTCCCACAAGAAGACTCTTTACAAATTTTGACTTTTAACCACTTGAGCAGTTTTTTTTTTTTTTATCTCAATTGCAAAATGTTTAATTAATTTTTCAGAATGTTTGTATAATTCCTGCTCTAAGTGGGTCGGTCTGCAGCTAAACACACGTTCTACAGTCTCTATACTCCAGTTAACCATTAAGTGACTGAATTAGTCGACCATTGTTTCATTAATCCGATTGTTTTCAGCCCTAGTGAACGCAGCGTTAGCGCTGCCTTGCTCTGAGTGTGAAATGCTCCCTCACCGCCATGTAGGCAGCACAGCCAGCACTGCGAGTCTTTGCCTTTGAATCCACCAGGCGGCCGCTGATGCCAAAGTCGCACAGCTTGATCTGACCTTTAGCGTCGATGAGGATGTTTGAAGGTTTGACGTCGCGGTGGATGACGCCGTGTTTCTCTTTCAGGTACAGCAAGGCTTTCACTATCTGCAGCACAAACAACGATTAGGTCCAGTAAGGCGTGTCAGAAGCCCGAGTGCGGCTCTGTGACTTACTGCGACTGTCATCTTCCCCAGGATTCGCTCTGGGATGGGGCCCTGGATCCTCTTCTTCAGCTTCTCTGCACACGTTCCCATCAGCTCCATGGCGATGAACACATCCGTCTAGAGAAACGGCGGATATTCAGGAACACTTGCATACATTTACCTGAGTTTACTGCATGTGTATTAGAACTATAAAAACCACCGACTCATACAGAGATTAACCTTCAGATTCCAGATCCTCCGTCTCCGCTCACGTACGTCGTGCGCTCAAAATACAGAGCAGAGCTATTTTTAGCTCCGGCCGCGTTAATCTGCGTTTGCAATCGCACCAAACAGGAAAAACAGCGGCGAGAAGATCTGATTTAGCAAATATAAATATATCAATGATGGATTGATTGGCAACTACAAATTAGAGCATAATTCTTATATTTTCCTAAAAACTATGACCATTCGATTATTGAATACAAACTATTAGTACTTCAGCATACCAGGAAGCAGATTTTTTATCTCCATCAAAATATTTATTTTATATCGAGAGGCTGAAATGGGTTTCCTCCGTAGGGTGGCTGGGCTCTCCTTCAGAGATGGGGGGGAGGAGCTCAGTCAGCCTGGGAGGACTCAGAGTACACTGCAAAAAATTCAAATCTTAAGTCTTTTTTTCTTAAAATAACTGCATTTTTTATTGGATTGAGGGAGTAAGTGACACACTTTGCCAATGGAACAAGAAAATTTACATTTAAAATAAGAAAAAACGACTGCATTGTCTTGTTTCAAGTGCATTTTTATGTTATCTTATTTTAAGAGTAAAAATACTCATACCATTGGCAAATCCTCTTATTTATCTACTCAAATTAAGGTTAAATTGACTTAATTTAAGAAATCTTCACTTATTTCTAGATTGTTTTTGCAGTGTAGAGCCGCTGCTCCTCCACGTCAAGAGGAGCAAGTTGAGGTGGCTCGGGCATCTGGTTAGGATGCCTCCTGGACGTCTCCCTGGTGAGGTGTTCCAGGCACGTCCCACCAGGAGGAGACCCGGGACACGCTGGAGGGACTATGTTTCTCGGCTGGCCTGGAAGCGCTTTGGGATTCCCCTGGAGGAGCTGGACCAAGAGGCTGGAGAGAGGGAGGCCTGGGCCTCCCTACTGAAACTGCTACCCCCGCGACCCGACCCCAGAAAAGCAGAGGATGGATGGATCAAGAGGCTTAAAAGTTTAATCAAATCCAGAGAAAACTTCCTAGATTGCCTCTCCCAACTTCAAAAGACACTTCTTATGGCAGGCATGGATGAAGAGTAGGGGAGTTTGGGGGTTGAGAACAAATATAGTTCATACTAGGGCTGCAACTAACGATTATTTTAAAAATCGATGAATCGGCCGATTATTTTTTCGATTAATCGATGAATCGGC